TTCTGTCCGGGTTCAAGGCTTTTATCCCCTTTCTCCTGCTCTTCCAGCCTGCTACTCTGGGCGTCCCTGTGATGTCTCTCCTCACCTGTAACCCTGGGGCTGACTGCTCTTCTGTCCTGGTTCAAGGCTTTTATCCCCTTTCTCCTGCTCTTCCGGTCTGCTACTCTGGGCATCCCTGAGTTGTCTCTCCTCACCTGTAACCTGTAACTGTAATGGTTGTGGTATAGAAGGCTAAATTCTTCTGAAATATCATCAGGAATCTCCAGATTCTCAGTAATACATGTCTACTTCCTCCTGTTAGGACCTGTGACAGAGCACTGAACTAGAAACGTCTGACATATAAGATGGATAGTTATAATTTAAGTTCAAGAAGTCTGAATGGATACTAGTATTTGGAAATCATCCATATAGACACAATCACTGAAACCTTGAAAACAGATTGGTCAGTGTTGTGGTTAACTCTGTGTTACCTTGGCTGGGCCTGGTTGAGTGGGTGGGCAGTTGGTGGTAGTTATTCACCATGATGAGACTGGCAATCAGCTCCATGGTGGGATCTACCACAAGCAGCTGAGTAGTTGCCTTTGGGATGTGGTCTGCTTCCTGTATATAAGGAGAAGGTTTGGGGATAGTCTCTAGCTTATGGCATGCTTGGACCCTGCATGTAGCTGTGTCATTGTTCAGCAGCCTGCCATGCTCTGCCAATCTTGGGACTTTCAATGGACTTAAATTAATGGCCTGCCGTGTGGTTTGGTATCACCAGGACTGTGCCTTTTTACTTGTCAACCTTGGCCTTGTCAGCCTCAGTAGCCAGCAGCTGTCTGAGTGAAGAAATGCCTCTAGCTCCAGTGGGTCGGGAGCAGGAGGCAGAGCTGGATCCCAAGGTTGAGGGGCTTTCACCCAGCCGCTAGAGCCTGGCACTTTGAACTTGGATTTAAAGCCTCCAAACTGTAGGAGAATAAACTCCTGTTTGTTCAAGCCATTCCATTTGTGGTATATTCCTGTCAGACTGGCACTAGGTAACTAGAACAGTCAGCAAAGGTCAGAATATTAAGTCAAAGCTTTAGACAATGTGTCTGTTTAAGGAATAGGAAACACAAATGTCAAGAGCTATTTTTATGTTAATATATAGGAATATCATGGAGCAAAAGTCAGAGTTTACATGAATTTTTAAGGCAAATGTAAAACTTCATTAAATTTCACATTTGCAGCTGTCCACTTTAGACTATACCTTCTTTCTGGAGTTTGTATGCTTTTATTCTCTGCTTTAAGAGGTATTTTAGTTTCCAAAGCTAATGATACACAAATGTTTTAACATAAAAATAATGTTCCTTGCCCTAAATTTTATATACATTGGTGCTTCAGAAAAACACTTGATGCATCCTGCATTTGATAGGTGCCACGGTTCACCATCATATACACCAAATGCAAAAGGCACAGATACACAGATTCTTATTTTTCTTAGGATAATCCTGGAAATAAGTGTTATTTTCACTTTAGAGAAGAAATTTATGATTAAAGAAATGAATTGACTTGTCTATGGTCACATAACTAGTGAGTGGAAGAACTGGGATTTGAACTATAATCTACCTGATTTCAGTATCTGTGCAATTTTCATTATACAATGGCGCTTGTTTATTAGGAGGCAAAGGGAAGAGAAGACTTTAGTAAAGGTGAATTATAGTGTGAGAGAGACTACCCACAGAGCTGGCCAGGCCCAAACCCCTCCATGGAGACACAAGTTATCATTAATCAAGCCCTATCAGTGATACCTCTCACATTTCCCCTGTAGTTTGACTTCAACGATCACTGCTGAATCATTTTTCACTGAATTATTGCAATAGGTTTTATAATACATACCTCGTCTCTAATCTCAGACCCTTCAATCCACTCTCCAAAATGCCATCAGTAATGTTTTTAAAAAATGCCAATCTGATCATATTACTCCCCAGCTCAAATTTTTCAGCCACTTCTTTGTATGGCAAAGAGAAGTTTTTGTTAATTGGCTTCTGACTCTTAGCCATTTCTCTATTGCTCCCCCTCCTCAAGTGTGCTCCAGCAAGAACAGTGAATTTTTAGGTCCCACAAAGATTACAGCTTATGAAACAAATCCTATGGGGCAGTCCTACTCTGTTCCATATAGTCACTATGAGTCAGAATGAACTCAATAGCACACAACAACATACCACACAAGGAACTCTGGTGATCCAATGCTTAAGTGTTCAGTTGCTAAATGAAAAGTTGGAGATCTGAACCCACCCACTGGACTCGAGGGTACCTAACAATAACATACTACACTGTGATGGTTAAGGTTATTTGTCAACTTGGCTAGGCCTTGATTCTCACTAGTTTGGCAGATACTGTGTAATCATCCTTCATTTTGTGATCTGATGTATGCAGCCAATTCATTGAAAAGAGTTTCTTCGGGGGTGTGGCCTGCATAATTTAAATGGATGTTCTGGTAAAGGTCACTCTTTCTGGATCCTGAATCCATCTCATCATCCTCTGACGTCTGGTTCTTGGGACGTGAACTAGCACCCTGCCACCTGACATGCAGATGTTGGGTTCATCAGCCGGAGACCACATGAGTCAGAAGAAGCCTCCAGCCTGTGCATTTGGGACTTGTCAGCCTCCACAATTGTGTGAATGTCCCTGAAATAAATTTTTCTCTATATATTTACATGTACTCTTCACTGGTTTTGCTCCTGTAGAGAACCCAGCCTAAGATATTTGGTACCAACAGTGGTTCTAGAGGAACAAAATCTTAAAGATGAGTTTTCTGAATTAGTTTTCAAGCCTGGTTAGTCTTAAAGGCACTGATGACTCTATCTCCAGTAGTAAAGATGGCACTTCTAATCCATGGTGTGAGATGGCAAAAGAAATGTGCGAAATATAACCACCACTGGATCAAACATTTGTGACTGCATATCTGAAACTTTTCTATAATTTTGTTAGAATGAAAAGTGTAAGGAAGATGAATGGTTAGTCTTACTTCCAATAAACAAAGTGGTAAAAGAAAGGGATGGACTCAAAGCTTCAGAGTCACAGCTCAAGTGCCACAGAAAAGACCTGAATGTTATCACTTGTGCCCTTAAAGCAAGCCAATTTCTTGTTAACAAAGCTGATATTGCCAAAAACCAAACCCAGAGTCTTATCCTAAGAGCGCATGAATTAAAATGCCAATTGAATTCCCAATCTCACGTGGTGTGTGAAGTTAAAGAGAGGGCACCGACTGGGAAGAAATGGGATCCTGAATGGATGTGGACATATGGGCAGAATAACCTGGGGACAATGAGCCCCTAAATTCTGTAGAATCACTCCTGCCAACAGAACCAGCCCTTTTACTCCTATCTGAAGTGATTATTCCAGCTGTTTGCTAAACCACCCTCCCCAGTAAAATCATTATCCCTTCCACCCTTATCTGATGAGATTACCCCAGCTGTGTCTGCAGTCTTTTTCTGAAATATTACTTAGGGCACTGCCTGGGGCAAGTGCCTTATAAGACATTGCTGAATGTCCCCAGGACCCAATCCCACCACACATTTATGCTTCTAGACTTAGTCTTAAGTCCCATGAGCCTCAAGGAGTAAAGTACAAAATGTGACCCATGAGGAGGTATGCTACACTCCAGAAGAACAGCTTATATGTATTTTCTAATATATACAAAGAGAAACCTGAGGAATATGTGTGGGAATGGCTATTAAGGGTGTGGGATAATGGTTCAAGGAACATAAAGTTGGATCAGTCTGAGTTTATTGATATGGGCCCACTAAGCACAGATTCTTCATTCAGTGTCTCAGACTGAGAGGATGGTTCACTGAAGCCAGAATTAAATGGTGGCTTATAGCAAGTTGAACTGAAATGCCAGACCTGACATGATATGCTATAGAAGAAGGTGTCCAAAGGCTTACGGAAATTGGTATGTTAGAGTTGATTTATCAGGTTGGACCTACAGATCCACTCATGGAGTGTCCAGAAGACAGACTTTTCACCACAATGTGAGGAACAAATTTGTGAAAGGAGCCCCAGCATCCTTGAAGATTACTGTAATTGCTATTTCATATAAGTCATATTTGATAGGAAGATTGCCCTAACTGAATCAAAACACCTAAATACAATGGGGCTGATTGGACCACATTGTAGCTAGGTGTACCAAGGTGGTAGGGACTAAGAGGCAGCACTTAATTGCCAAAGACAATTATCATAATCATCACATATCCATATTTTTGCCCCTGCTGCTCTCTTGGCCTGGTATTCCCCAGGCAAACTTCTACTGAACCTTAAAGCTCAGCTCAAGCAATTATCTTTGGGAATTCCTCTTTGTCTCTTCCAGACTAAGGTAATTCTTCGCCTTTATACACTATATTTCTATGGCTTCCTACACATACCTCAAAAAGCAATTATTGTATTTTGCATGTTTATTTGTACTTATCTAGTACTAATTCCATAAGAGCAGGACCCACTTGTTTTCATCTTAGCATTTCTGGTTATTAGCATAGAACCTAGAACAAAAGCATTCAAAGATATGTATACTGAAATAATGAATGATGTTCAAAATCGATAAAAATTAGCATTATGTTTTCTCTGCCACTGGGTATGGCAGTGATAAAATCATAAATAATATTTTAATGTGTAAAATTATTTAATACCTACATGTACTGTCTTTGTTCAACGTGAAAAAGATCCTTGCTTTCCATATTCTGCTCCAATAGTGTTCTGTTCTGTAACATTAATGTCTGAATTTGATCCAGCAGATGTCGATTTTCTTCTTCTAAGTTTCCTTTAAGTTGGCTTAGCAACTGTTTAAATACAAATGTTTTTTAAAAAATCAATAGCTTTACTTAACATAAATCACCCAAAACATCTAAAAAATATAAAGTACTTCACAGAGATTTAAGTCTTCTTGTATTGGAACAATTAGATAGTTGCATTTTGATCAGAGTATGAATGTGATAGCTGTTATCAGTAATAATGGCAGCTAAAACACCGCATTACATACTGTAAATGTATTTTTTCTTGCTTAATTTTCACAAACCTTAAGTCAATATAGAATAAAATTTTCAAGTTCCAAAAAAAGTTTTTTTATCTTCAAAACTGTTTATAGTTAGAAAGCTAGATTCAAATCTCTAACCTTCTATTTAAGTATCTATGAACATATGTACCAAGTTACTTAATTCTCCGAGCTTTAATAAAATGAGCATAATTACCTCCTATCTCCTAAGACAGTTGTAAGGATTAAACAATATATGTAAAGAACCTGGTAGCATGCCTATGCCACATAATAGGTACTTACCATACCTCATTCTTCCCTCAACAACTATTGCAAAGAATCTCAAAACTTTATACATAGTTTCTATGGCCTGACAAAGGGCAATCAGGTGATCTGGCCAAAGGCTGGTATTACCAGCTGGTTACTGGCAATCGGGCTACTTTTTCTCTGTAACACAACAACGCAATGCACTGCCATCAAGTCGGATCGGGCTCATACAGTAATCTGTCCTTGGGTTTCCGAGGCAGTATCACTACGGAAGTAGATTGTCCAATCTTCCTTCCAAGGAGTGGCTGATGGGTTTGAACCGCCAGCCTTCTGGTTAGCACTCAAATGCCTTAGGCACTATGCCACCAGAGCTCCCCTTTCTCTCTGTAGTTAACTTAAATTAGAAATACGCCTTAATTAGGCCAGATATTCCAACAGAAGTAAGAAAGCCCCAAATAGACTGCTAACCAGAAGGCTGGTGGTTCAAACCCACAGCCACTCCTTGGAAGGAAGGTTGGAACCTACTTCTGTACTGATACCGCCTCAGAAACCCAAGGAGGGTCGCTATGCATTGGATCCGACCCCATGGCAGTAAGTTTGGTATTTTCGGTTTTTGGTAGATACATTTAGTATCATCTGTAGAGTATCTGAAAGAATGTAGATTTCTGTACCCCAGCATCCAGATTCAGCAGGTCTGAAATGGAGCCCAGAGATCTGTATTGAAAAACAAAAGCAAACAAATAAACCCCCCCAGATAAAAAGATAAATGAAAGAAAATTAACATTATGAAAATTCTCATAGCAGGAGAAAAGCAGGAAGAATGACACTATGAATACCCACAGACACCCATCTAGATCCAACAACTGTCAATATTATAATTTGTTTATTTTACTTATCTATATATATTTAAACCGAAATACAACATTTATGATAGACTTATTGTAAAAATGAATGCAGTTATTCTCCTCCCTTTATCTACATCCTCTTGCAATATTACTTTATACTCTATCAGCTCTGGTGGTGTAGGGCCTAAGGCATTTGACCGCTAACCAGAAGGTTGGTTGTTCAAACCTACCAGCCACTCTGCAGAAGGAAGACTGGGCAATCTACTTCTATAAAGATTTACCACCTCGGAAACCCAAAGGGGGTCACTATGAGTCAGAATCGACTTAAGGGCAGTGAGTTTGCTTTGGTTTTTGGTTGGTCAAGAGAAGGTGGTAGAAGTGGTAGTGTGACAGTTCCCAGCCTAGGCCTCAAGTGGCCTTGTTTGAATTCCACTTCACCTCTTTGAACTCTTATAGAGGATGAGTCTTGGAACCCTGACAGAGGATGAGAGACCATGTGCAGCAAAGGAGAGTTATCCTAGCTGGGGTCACCCTAGACCAGCCAACCAGCCTCCAGTATATTTGCCAGCTAACTCCAGTTACAGAGGAAAGAAGGTCCATATATCAGCACGTCTGTTCAATCAATCTATAGCCTCATGAGCAAAAATAAATGTTTATTATTACTACTGAGGTTCTATGGTTGTTATACAACTTTGTGTGTCAATAGATAGCTGATTAAACATATACATACAGATTTTAAATATACAGCTCAAAATGAACACGTGTGAGCACTAACTGTATTCCAGAAACATTCCTTATATCCTCTTCCAATTACCATCTCTTCCCATCAAGTTTAACAACTATCCTGACATCTTATACCAACAACTCATTTTTCTACCTCCTCCAGATCATGCTTTTATATGACTTGGCCTCCTATCAAGGGTGAACATTTGACCCAAACTGGGACAGTCTTTCTCTTGGACTTTCTAAATTAAAAATGAGAGAATCATTTTTTATTTTTGGCAGAAGCTATGAGATATAAAATTCAGAAAACTCCTAGAAGCAGCATAGAAAAGTCAGCCTCCTGGGAGAAAATGAAGCCTATACAAAGAGTTTTCTTTATGTAGTGTTTGATTCCAGTAATCTCTGAGGGCTACTTACACTCATGGCTTTCCCACAATTTAATTTTTAAACCCTTCCTTTGATTCTATGACCTGAGAAATTTGTCTTTTTGCCTAAGCAAGTTCAAGTTGGGTTTCTAACACTTGAAACTAAAAGCATTTTAACACACACACACACACACACACACACCCAAGCAACCAATTCCTCTTGCTAAGAAGAATGTAAATTCTTTAGTTATCCAGATTATTATTTTTTTTTGAAAGGGGAGATAGTGAGAGATGAGACTTTAAATTTATTGACTAAATTAACAGAATTCAAAATTAAAAAAAAAAAAAAGTATGATTTGACCAATCATTTTTTTTTTTTTTTAAATTAGGATTTGGGTGAAGATTTACAGAGTAAATTCACTTTTCATACAGCAGTTCACATATACTTTGTCTCATGTCATTGACCAAAATTTACAATGCAGCAGCTCCCCTCCCACTTCCTCCCCATAGTTACCTCCTCCCAGTGTCCATCCCTTCATACTCTTCGAGAGGCCCATTGTCTGCCAACCCTGTATATGATCTTGGATACACTCTCCATTTAGACATACATAATTGTTTAGCTTGTTCACCCATCTATCCGTCCCTATACCCATGTTTGCTTTCATTGACAACTCAGTATTATATTTACAAAGGGGTTCATATTTGTTGTTTGTACTGCCCATGTAACTCTCTCTGTCTTTCTCATCCTCAATGCTGCCATATTTTGACCAATCATTTTAAAACTCCAAACCCCAAAAACAAACTCACTGCCACTGAGTCAATTCTGACTCATAGAGACTCCCACTGAGTTTCTGAGGCAGTAAATCTTTACAGAAGCAGATTGCCCAGTCTTCCTTCCATGGAGTGGCTGGTGGGTTTGAACCACCAACCTTCTGTTTAGCAGTCTGATACCTTAGGCACTGTGCTACCAGAGCTCCCTACTTCAAAACTAAAGACGTTTTAATCTGATGATATATTCTTCAAGTTCTTGCCTACATGCATATAATTTTTTAAGCCTTGTTTTATTGCACTTTGCTTTACTGCGCTTCTCAGCTACTGTATTTTTTAAACAAATTGAAGATCTGTGGCAACCCTGCATCGAGCAAGTATATCAGCATCATTTTACCAAGAGATTATGTTCACTTCTTGTCTCTGTGTCACATTTTGGTAATTCTACAGTATTTCAAACTTTTTCATAGTGCTATACTGCACATTTAATAGACTACAGTATAGTATAAACATAACTTTTATATGCACTGGGAAACCAAAAAATTCATGTGACTTATTTTATTGTGATATTCACTTTATTCTGGTGGTCTGGAACCAAACCCTCACAATATCTCCATGACATGTTTGTACTAATAAACTGATAGTCCTTCTAAACCTTATTTAACCCAATACATCTAGTATCTCATATAATAATTAGAAGATTAGCAATACTTCTACCAAAGCCCTATGCATGGAGGTGCTGAATTAGTGAGATTATTCCAAAGAACTATGCCTCATGAGATTAGCATATTAATTCAAAAGGACAAAGATCACTAAATAATTTGTGATAACAGTTAACATTTGTTGTACTGCACTTATTCACATCTTTTACAGTTGGAAATGAACTTAAAAGCTCTATATTGCATTGACATTCCTTTTAACATAATTGAAAATTGTGAAAATTAGGTCAGGTGTTCCCATCAATGGAGAAAGAATTTATTTAACATTTAGAAAGTTTAAGAGTATGGACCAAAATTGTATGTTTCTGTACAAACCTAGAATAAAGAAACAGTGAATTTTGGTATATCACTATAAATTCAATAACTACAGTTTTCCTTCTAAATTAGCTAATAGAAATTATAAAAAAGGACAATGTTCTAAGGAAGACTTTACAGAATTGATATTCTACAAAATAAGACTTTTATAAATTAAGCATAGTGCAACAAATCTAAGTTGACATGGATTATTACAAATATTTTTCATACCACTAAGAAAAGATATTTTTAAACTATAAGATGGATCCGTATTTTAGAGTTAAGATGAAGTATGGTAATTAACTACCTTAATGATTTCAAATTTTGAAATACAAAACCCTTTACTACTTCAATTGAAATATCTCTTCTGTCTAGACTATAATCACAAAAAGATAAAATTTAGTACAAGCAACATTTAAATATGTTCATCAAATCATATTACTAATGTATTAATTACTGAGTTATATTCATAATTTTAAAATGTGTTGAGAATGGAAGAAGATATTTTGGCTAAGATAAGAAAAAGTTTTGCTAATGGTTGTAAAAAATGAAGGGAAGATGGACCTTTGTAGAAATTTTCTTAAGAGATGGGGACGAGAGTATAAAATAGAAACCTAAAGCTGTATATTTTATCTCCAAGTGACAAATTAGATTTTGGCAGGATATTTGCCTGGTCTCAAAATGTTTCCTTAAAGACTGCTATTATTGCAATAGGAAAAATAGTAACTACACAGTGGAGAAACCAGACAACACTGATTGATTATAATACACATTAGTGGAGCAGAGAAGTATGATGTGCCACAGGATATGATCAGTGAGAAGGATATAAAATTACTTATGACCTGAATCTAAATATAGGGAATATATCAGAAAAATCCAAACTGATAAACACTGAAAAAGAAATAACTAGTCCGTTAATATTATAAAAAAATGTCAATGTCATGAAAGACAAAGGCAGCCTAAGGAATTGTTCCAGATTAAAGGAGACTAAAGAAAACAGGTCAATTAAATGTAAAAAGTGATCCTGGACTGAAAGTAGAAAACATTCCCCCCCCGAAAAGTCATGAAAGTCATTGTTGGGATAACTGAAAACAATCAGAATATGAATTGTAGATTAAAATATTGTATAAATGTTAACTTTCCTAAAATTTGATGAATGGTATTGTGGTTATCTAAGAAAATGTGCTTGTTCTTATGAAATGCACACTGAAGCAATCAGGTATAAATAGGTACAATATATGAAACTGTTCAGGAAAAACAATGTTACATATCAAGTGAGAGAGAATTATAAAACAAATGCGATAAATTACTAAAAACTGTGAATCTAGGAGCAGCCTTCCAGAACACCAATGACATATGGGACCTTTATCAAGACCCACTACGCCTGTTTCATTCCCAGAATGTCCCACTAAATTTGACTAGTCTCATGATCAATTATTTGTCCCAAATAGTATTATAACCTCAGGCTGAGAGTTGGCCTTCTCCTGAGCATGCGGCTTTTCTGTGCTCTGCTCCAAATCAAGCCAGCCTCCTCTAGAAGCAAAGCTGTTGGTTTTCAGTTTGTCCCACACCTGGCAGAACTAATGGGTGTCAGAATTGAGTAAAATCCAAGTTTAATCCTCCTCCTCTTGGATGGGACTATATGATTGCCACAATGAACAGAATGCAGGAGAAACAATATTGCATGACTTCTGAGGCTTTCATCTGGATTTCTCAAGTCTCCTTCCCCTGGAGCCCAGACACCATATACAGCTGCCCATGGAGAAAGAACACGTGAAGAGGAACAGATGAAGTCTCCACGTGATAGCCAGCATCAACCACTAAACAAGTGAGTGAAAGGGCCTTCAGATGATTTCAGTACTCAAGTTTTGAATCTTCTCGCAAAAGGCCCAGCTGTAAGTGCAGCAGAGGCAGTCCCACTATCAAATACTCAATCAACAAAAGTTTTTGAGCATCTTAAATGGTTGTTTTGGGGTACTTCCTTACATAGCCATAGTAGTGAAACATTGTTTCACTTATTATGTTTATTGCCTGATTTCTACCAACAGAATATAAACTTCACAAGGGTAGGGATTTTTGTCTCTGGTTCACTGGCATACACCAGGGGAGCAACTGGTATTTGTTCATTAAATGAGTACATAACCTTACAATTTACAAAGCATCTTGACATTTAAGTTTAAGCTAGTAGTGAAAAAAAAAAAAAAAAGGTTGAAATGAATGAGAAAGGACGTTTTATCTGAATTATTTATAAATTTCAATTATCCCTGACCAATTCTTTAGAAATACTCCACTAAATGTATACTGCCGCTGTCATTTTAATACGATTGTTTACTTTTAGGCATGTCTTTCTTGATGCTTAATAGAAAGAAACAGTGATTAAACTTGTTAAAGCTCACCTCACACTGGTTATTCAGCTTGGTAGATGTGATATCCAGCTGTTGGTACTGTTCCTTTAGCTTTGAAAATTCAGCTTCTAATCTTGTTTGTTCCAGTTTGGAATTATTTAGAAGACTCTTCAAATTTTTATGGTCAGTTTGTAAAGCTTCAGTCTCTTTCAAAAGCTGACTATATGTATGATTCAACCTATATAATTAGAAATCACAGAAGAATAAAGTTAGAGTCTCTTAACAGCTTTCATTGTAATTTACACATTATGAAATGCTGTAAGCAGCATACAGACCTACTTAGAGAATATAAAAGATTTGTTTGCCAGTTATCAAACTGATTAGGATCAGTTTCTATTCTGTAAAATATAAGGTTAAAAAATTTTTGAGTACCTTTCCCTTCAAAAAGAAAAATCTTTTGGCCTCTAAAGATACTCATTAAGTTTATCATAAAAATTTAAATTAATAAAAACAAATGACCAATCCAGTTTCATTTAATAGAAAAGATTTTACAATAGAGAAGACTCTAAAATTTAATGTGAAACATAGATTAAGGTGATTGATTACTCAACCCAGTATGAAATGCTATATACATTTGTTGACAAATAACAGGCATACAGGCTGATATCAAAGTTTATAGTTGTTGAAATTTTTATAGTGTGGCAAATTATTCATATTTATACAGTCCCCAATTATTAATGATAAATTTTTGATCATTTGCAAAGCTATAGCTTTTTCTGTCCTCACAATTACAGTTTCAGGGCCTGATCTCTAAGAGCAGGGACTGGCAAACTTTTTCTGGATAGGGCCAAATAGTAAATATTTTAGGCATTGTAGGCTATACACAGTCTCTGTAGCACGTTCTTCATTTCCCTCCTCATAACTCTTTAAAAATGTGAAAACTGTTCTTAGCTGGAGGACTATACAGAAACAGGTAGTGATATGGATTTGGCTTGGTGGGCTGACCAGTTTGCCAACCTCCATTTTAGGACATTAAGATCAAGAACTCACAGAAGGAGGAGGTAGACAAACAAAACTTATGTTCAGAGAACCTAATAGTTGACCAAATTTCTCAAAGAATCTGACATAGCTTGTTGTTGTTATGTGCTGTCGAGTCAGATCTGACTCACAGCGACCCCCTCCTTGGG